TCCATTTTATTGTTTTGTTCCATCGCATATTGCACTTATCCGTCGAGTGTGGGATCGCTGTTTATCCTGCACATTGTTTCGTCCGTTCCTTTTTTCTCTCAAGGTGTTCTCCTTGTGTTCACTGAGGTTGTTAGGTAAAGCTAGGTAAGCTATTGTTCCCTGTGCTTTGTTTTGTTTGTATTGGGTTGTATAAGGCTTTGGATTGTCTTCATTAATAAAAGATTATTGGAAATATGGTCTGTGATCTATGTGCAAATGTAAAAAATGTAATAAGTGATCCATGAATAGTCACCACTTGCGTATCTTTGAGTGTCTTACTCTGGAAGGTTTCTGAATTATTTTATCTTGAAAGCAAGCTCTTGTTTTTTCAGAGCCAGCATTATATTGCCATTTTACTACTAGGGTGATGAAGGCAAGTGTTTTTAAATCTCAATGAGAAGGCAGTGAAAAAGGATTGTTAAAATAAAAAAGTAGTTTTGTGGAATATAATATTCATACAAACTTAAGTAATACGACTACACTTATCTTTTTTTATATTTAGTTATGAATCATCTGATGAGGATTTATTTCGCATTAGCACTAGTTCACTAAACATCCTACAGTGTACCTACAAAAACTCTGTAGGAGGTTTTCAGTAATGAGCAGTGTTCAGCAGTGTTAATTAGCAACTGCTCTCCACATGTTGCCTGTCCAAGCTAAAATAACTGAATGAATGTCATTGACTTTACCCTTGCACTGCCGCAGAGTCACTAATGGTTACTAATGTTTATAATGGTCAGATCTGAGAAATGTTTGGTTTAATATAATCATGAATCAAAATGATGATTCTGCTCCAAAGTCATTACACATGAATGTTACTGGTTTCTGTGAGTCACATGGTCATTGCAACTAAGTAGATACATGCACATTGCATTTTGTTTAGCATATGAAAACCATAGATTTTTTTTTATTATTACAAGAAAATCTGCAACTAATTCATATCATGCAGCTCCATGAACAGAACCAGGCAGGTGTTTGCACTATTTCTACATACTGTAGTGTTGGATTTAATAAATGCACTCATGCATTTCACCATGCGATAAATGTGTTAAACACATTGACATTCTTACAGAAATGTGTGTTGTTACGTGCTCTGCCATTGATTTTCAGTGAAAGTCCTCTAAGGAATGTCAAAGCGTTATACTTTTCAGATAGAATATATTGATATGCTTGCCATGTGCTTGCAAACATTTCCAGTTCACAGCAAGGAGAATCTTATCATGGTGTCTGACTCTGTCAACACTATTAAATTTGGAGAGAGTCAGAGATTAATAACTTCCACATAAGGAGAAAATAGGAAGAGGCGCGGGCTTGGGAGCTTACAGAAAGATTAATGAGTGTCAAAAACAATGAATTTTCCATTAGATAGGAGAATGGCATATGTTACTGGTACGGTCCTCACAGTCCCCTCATCAGATAGGAGTTTGTTCAAGGATCACCAAGAAATGACCTATTTTATAGATAAACATTTTGTCCTTTCTGCAGACTTCAGATTAACACTGACCCATTTTAAGTCAGAAATAGTACCTATTTTTCCTGAAGGTTTAATTTCACCCACAGCTATGGGTATTGTCATGAGCAAAATGATCACTGTTTTTATTGAACGTTTGGGCTGGCTGTAAAAGAAATGCAAAGACATGTGTTATGTGGTTATGTACAAAATTGTCCTTGTGGAGGTTGTTTTCAGAGGAAAAAAATGCAGATTGTAGGACAATCTTTAGCCTCAGTACACACGGAGCCATGCCTCTCAAATAGCCTTCTCTGCAAACATGTCATTATTGTTATGATGGATGCCCAGCAGTTTTCAAATATCAGCAATGGAGAGACATGAATGCAGCATTTAACTATGTTGAATACGGATGCAACTTTGAGCAGCAGAAGGATGGTAAGAAGCCAAAAATTATCTTTGACAACAACAGAAATAAATGAGGTGTGCATAGTGTGAACAATGTCACCGGCACCTCCAGCTGGAAGGAAACAGCGGGCCTGTTAGCTGTTAGACATTTCCCATTATAGACAGGATGTGTCGGCACACAATGCATTTGTAGACCAGAGGTGGAAAAGAGGTAAATACTACAAGAGGAGCTTATTTCTCAAGGAGCTCAGAAGTGTTCTTGTCAGTCAGCCTCTGCGTCCCCCAAGAAGCGGCACATTGTGTGACCCCCAGTCAGTGCAGATTTGGTCAGGGCTTTTTAAGGAAAACCTCCAGTCGTGCTTCACCTACATCTCTGTCAGAGGCATCATTCATGGTGAACAGAAGAAATGCAAAATGTTACACCATTTATTCAATCAATGTGTAACATTGTAATTTACAGATGAATGGAAACATTTATCGAGTGGCCCATTTGCCAAATTATTCAAGCTTAAAAAAAACTGTTTATTTCAACAGTGCCCTCCCGCAGCAGAAATTACAATTTACAGGTGCATGGAAACACCAAAAAATCACTTAAATATATATCTGTATATGTTTGGTGAAAATAATCATTTATTTTTAGTTCTTAGTCATTCAGATCTACTCAATGCTGTACATGGCTCCATCAGTAGGAGTAGTAGTAGTTTCTCCAAGGTCTTGATTTTGCTTGAGCACAGTGCCCAAGTTATAACAAGAAATTTCTTTTTTCACTTCACAAAAAAGCTAACGGTAGCTGGTGTGGTAATGGTGGTAAGGGTATGTTTTGCATGCTCAGTATGCCATTTAGATGGTTAACCACAGCTCCTGCAATCTCATCAACATACCCAAAGAAATCAAATGTGAGCTGTAAATGAATAGAACCTCCCGCCTCCACTGATGGACTTTAAAAAGCAAGATCCCCACAGAAGGATCAGCGGTGAGTTTCCTTTCAGGGTTGTGTTTGTCATGCGATTTCCTGTTTTGCGGCTGTGTGCTGTGAGTCTGTGACATCTGAGCCAAATGTCCATGATGAATAACTTGCAACAGATTTCTCATGACGACAGCAGTGTTTTCATGATTTATTTTATTTTTTTATGTGTACAAAGCCTCAGATAAAAACTTGTCACCTTTGAGGTGAGTGGTTGCCTATTTGATCCTCCTCCTCCTCGTTGTTTAATGACCTGGGGAAATACACGTGAATGCTAGATTTTTTTTCTTTTTTTGATTGCTGTTTTTTTTTTTTTCTGTGATCCCACACTGTAAAATTGCTACCCTCCTCTGTTCGCTTTTGGGTGCACTTTAGGACTTATTCATATGCTATGGGATAAATCCAGTGCTGTGTCTTAATAGCTCAGAGTGGATGGATACTTGGATGTGTTCATGAAATTGACGCACTGAATATATTTTTCTCCCTCCTCCGGTCATTCCTTTACATTTTTAAGCCATAAAATTATTGCGTTGAGATGATAACTTGAAGTAAACAGCCAGACTATAATCTTCTATTCAGGTAAGCAGGTAAGCTGTTTCCTCATGTGAACAAAACAATAAAACCTCTCAGTGTACTCAGGCTTTTTTGACTCCGTTTTGCACATTAGAAAACCATTGGTCTATTCCTCTATGTCAGCAGTGCTTTTAGCTCCTCAGTCATGATGTAGTATGTTAGTTTGGAGGGTGGTAACATGTGTGGGACTGGGCCTGACACTCAGTGTTAATTTTGCTATTCATGCAATGAATCCTTTTCAAAAATCTGAATCTTACCGGCAAATCTAGTGTTAATCTGTTCTACTCTGAAAGCCATTGTCACAACGTTCTGTCCTCATTACACCTAACTAAGTGTCTCTACCTGTAGACAGCTAAGCACCTTCCCTTATGTAACCACTGGAGACAAACAAAGCGCCCATCCTTCGAGTGATGATGAAAGGAAATTGTTTACCAATCTGCTATATCACTCTGAGAACCGTGTAATTTTCACAGAAGGTGAAAGTTGAAAGTTATTGAGCAAGAGGTCTCGCCAGGCACTGTCACACAGATTAGCCCTAAAGGGGAAAAGATTTGCTCATTTTGTTGTGATGAACAATTTTACAGCACTTAATTGTTTGGATTATTTACAATATCCCATGATCCTTTAGCTATATGAAGCGTTACATTGTGATGTTATGAACCAGATTTAACATAATTACCCACTGACACAGTAATCCTATCCAAGCAAAGACTATACAAACTTGCAAATACAGAGACACATTGTTGGTCTTATTTTTTTATTATACATGATGATAAAACTTCATTCATCAGCTTCACCGTCTAACATAAATGGAAATGAGAGCAGACAGGTTTCGTCCACTGAAATTTAACCTGCGAAATTGTGTAGACACTGACTCGTCAGAGTAGGAAAGTCTTTGGTTTCAGGTTTAGTTTTTTACTGTGTGGACATGCAGTTTAGTTTGATTTGTAGCGCTAAACTTACCCTATGTTATTCTGCTGTTAACTGGGCTTTAATTAATCAGTTATCTATCATGTCTTGAAGTGAAATGTCACAACATGAGGGATAGCCTCATCGTGGTTAGTGAGGCTGGTGTTCCATTACCACAATAATTAAGTGCTGTTTAGTGGTGCCCCGGTCCTATAGGTTCACAATGAGTTATCATAACTGATGAGCATTTTTGACAATAGCAGTAAGGTTTGTCATTCAGGTCATATCAGATAGAAGAGTGAATATTATCATAACTGGTTTGTTGAGACTTTTGCACTAAACTGTGTATAAAAAATAGAATAGTATAAAGTACTATTCTATTCTGTGGACTACCAGCTACAAAGACATGGTTTTTAGATGTTAAAGAATTAATGATCTGACTAACTTGTTATATGGTTTAATTGAATAAAGCTGTGATGTTTGCATTCATGTTTTTCTTCTGTATTTGTAATGTGTATTGAGACTCCTCACATTCCCTCATTCACAACATTTAATCCTGTCACCATGGATAGAGCAAATAATAATCATGCTATCAGTGTTACTCCTTCATGCTACCTATCTAACCTGCTGTTGTCTTGCTTTACCCCCTCATGCTTTCAGTGGCTGGGACAAAAAGCAAAGCGAAAGGTGAGTTATTGCCTCCATTTTCTTGCTGCATGATTTATGTTGCACACAGTTCCCAATAAACAATGTTTGGATCGCCCTTTTATCTCCCCCAAGAGCCCAGGAAACATTAACATACACAGCTTGTTGCAAAGCTTTCTGGGCATTTTTTTTAACCTTTATTTCCCCAGGAAAAGGTTTGCTGAACATGCTTGCTCTTTCTCAGCTACAACCTGCTTCACATATGTATAGATTCACATGTTCACACCAGGGAACTGCCCGCCTCACCCAGTCATGCTTTTCCTGTATTTGGCCACTGTGCAGCTCCACTGGAGCAGCTGGGGGATTGTTCCTGGTTCAAGGACAACTCAGTGGTAGATGAGGGAGGAGAAGAGTGTTTCTCATTTGCTTTCTCTACCCAGATTTTCCCAGACATGCTGTGTGCTCAAACTGGAGACCTTCTTTTCATTCTCTTTATTTTCCTGCTGCCTTTCAGTAGTTAATGCTTTGTCCTGATATTTGTTGGTGTAGGTATTCACTTCATTGCCACAGATTCTGATCTAGTATCTAATAAATTGTCATTTTCAAATTTGTTATGTACTGAGCTGAAAAAGCCAGCACAGAGGGTGTTTTTTTTTCTTGATGCTCAACCACAAATGACTTGTACCTTTGAGGGGGGGGGGGTCCTGTTTCAGAGTATTTGATCATTTACAGACCATTTTTTCTTTTATATTGGTATACATTTTCTGTTATTGCTCATGTTCTTGTTGGCTGATGCTATTCTAGCATCTGAACATCAATACCCCAGTGTCCTAGTGGCTCTGCCTGTATGTTTATTGATGCCACTGTTAGTGCTGTTACTGAGGGATCCTCTAAAAATTTTATATGCTAGTTGTTCTGGCTTGTTTGCTTTGAGCACACAGTTGACCAATTTGAAATTTGAGCAACCCACTTATGTTCTTCACGTGTTGTACAATGAAATGAAATCTAGTTTCCTAATGTGCCTTCAACTTCATATACTCAAGTTTTATTTGGATTTTTTGTTTGTTTGGTTGTCTAGGTTTTTTTTTTTTTGTTTCTTTTGTATTTTTTGGACTTAAACCAACACCACTGATTAATGTTGTTAATGTTCATGAATGAACGCTGAGGGTTTTTCTTCTTTTTTTTTCTCCTTTTTGAAAATGCAGTGTTTTCTAATTACAGAAGTAATTAGGGGGTTAGTTTTTAATTAACAGAAGATACACATTCAGCATCCCTATACCTCTGGAATCTAGTTCAACAATTTTAAACAGCACTTTCAGGACTCTAATTACAGTTAATAACTTTTATTAATAACAATGAAGATAATGAATATAACCATATGTATCAGTCTAAAATATTGATGAAAGGATTTTGTCCATTTCCCTATTGCATGTAAATAATTGCCATGAAACCTGTGGAGAAACTGTTACAAAAAAAATATAAGACCTAGAAGCCAGAATGGAGGATCATCATGGCAGTTGTCATTATAATGCAAAACATGCCTCTGGATTTATTTACCGAGACCTCACAAAGAGATTTATTTGCTCTCTGAGGACTCACCTGAGTGTATGAAGCAGTGCTTTGACTAGTACTAATGCAGAGAAAAGGAGAATCGTTTATTACAGTGTAGACACAGTACATTGAGGGTAAACAGCTTCATGAGAAAAAATTTTTGTTTCCATCCAGAACAAAACAAAAAAAGTTGGACGTAGCAAGAAAACTTATAAAAGTGAATCTGGGGAAAAGAAAATGGGAGAAAAAGCAGCAACTCTACTGCAAGCGAACCGTATGTCAGAGGTGAAAGATGAAGCTCAAGCAACAGAGGTTGTTTTCACAATTGTGTTATGTAACCATTATGAAGGGCATATTCAGGCAGCTTGAATGTGAATTTAACGGCATTTCATATAAAGTGTTTCTGACAGAGGTCGTATTACATTGAAAGTGGACACGGCGAGGATTCTCAGTGTGACAAGGCTCCACTGAACATCTAATAGAACAACATATTCCTGATCATATTATTCAGTGGGCTTTGTGGAAATGGAAGATGAATGCATATATCCAACCCTGTCCCTTAAAAATGACATTTCTATACAAATAAACTGCAACAGCACATGCGTTTTATAGGAGACTTAATCCCTAGCTGGATTAATGTTCAGAGACGATGTATTTTTCGAATGACTGAATGAAGCACTACATTTATTAACAGCAGTGGAGTCGTGAGCAGATGGTTGGGATAGATGGTAGGGACACAAATCCCGCAACTGTCACACCAGAGACCGGGTTTGCATCCATAGTCCTATCTGTGGTGAGGTTTAGGCAACAAAATCACTTTGGTTAAGGTTAGAGAAAGAGTGTGTTTCGGGTTAAATGAACACCTTGTGTCTGAAGTCGCTGTCAATACGTTTATAGAACACATAATCCAGTGTTGCAGTTTAGTTTTATAGAAATGTCGTGTTAAGACAGGGTTTATTTATCGCACAGAGCAGTGTAAGTAATGTTGAAGGAGCATGTGATAACTATTCTCATTCATTCCCACCATATGGCTCCTAAACTTTTTAAAGGAAATCCATACTCAAGGTTATTGAGAGGATTTACCACATGATTCACAATCAGCTGTGTATTCCGCTAAATTCTCATTAATTAAAGTGTTTATCAGTCTGTTAGCAGTCCTCTAGAGTTGGCTTGAACACTCTTAGGAGCATTTTTTTAGTTTTTGTTGTCCCAGTGTCAGCGTTTGTTTGTCACTTTGTAGACATTGGACAACTAATATGCCGCCAGTTTATCAGTTTTATTTCTCAGTGTGTAGCAGAAAGCTTACAAGCATCAGGATCTGACAAAAACACATAATCCCTAAATTCATTTGAGGCACATCACATGTACAGTCTTGTAAGTAACACCAGTTGAAAGTGTAATTTCCTGTTTTACCTGGAGACAGTACAGTATTTCTGACCCACTTTCTGAAGCTGATGTATTGCCACTTTCCACTTTCCCTTTTTTTCCCTGCACAGCTGAAAAAAACACTGCTAAGAGTTTCCCCCAGTAGGGATATTTATTGCCAGTTCTGAGGATTGTCCACCCCCTACCTTTCCCCTGCCTCCCCCACTGTGGCAAATCACAGGGGAGGACGGCACTCAGTACCACCTCTGAGATGAGGGAGGTTCACTTTTGCTCAGGTGCTACTCAGTAACAGGCACCAAATGTCCTTTTTGATGGAGGATAAATCTGACAGACAGCTCACTCTGTCTTGGTTATTTCCTTTGTAACAGGCTTCATCGGCCTCTGTAACAACTCAATCAACTGACTGCATCAGTTAAGATCACACTATCAGTGCCGAGCGTGAATACAATACAGGGCTGATACACAGTTGTCGTGTGGTGGTGGGTCATCGAAACATGTGCATTGTGTCTGTCTGATCTGCTGTGAACTGCTCTTGTTTACAGCTGATGGAAGCATTACAGAAACCCACTACAATCCCAGTGCAGATAAAGGATGCATACAGTGGAATATGTCTCGATAATGTTCCACACGAACACATTTAATGCTAGAAAGATTCATATTTGATTTTGCAAAGAACACCCAGGAGCCATTTGCAACAGGAATTAAAACAGCATCTGAGATAGAAACTGCAGCCAGATTGCATCTGAATCTATTTTTGTTTATGAGTGATCTGGACATATATTGTGTCCTCTATCCTCTTTGCATTTCTACTTTATTGCTAGATGCAAATGGGGTGTGAAAGAGAGTGACATGGAGTACATTACTAATCTGGGCAAAAGTAATCACAGCCTTTCTTTTACCATAATTACATATGGATTTTCTATGACTGAATGAATTGCATATTTAAAGGGCTGCATGGAAAGATTTTAAATGTTCCCTGTTGATTTTAAATTGTGAAATTATCTAAAGCTGACTGTGTTCAAAGCGGCAGGTGAACAGTTTTCAAACATGCATCACGTTGGACAGGTAATTTACAGATTAGCTTCAGTTAATGGATCAGATCTAGATTTAGCGTAATTAGTTGCTGCCCTTAAATAGTCGCTTAAATCTCCCCAATCAACGAGGTTGATAGCGCTTAAAATGGCACCATTTATTGAGGGCCTCAGATCAGCAGGTTTGCCACAAACATAAGAGGCTTTTCTGCTGATGTCGAACCAATAGGGTTTAAATTACACTGTCAGTGTAAATGATTGTTTTTGGTGACAGATATGACCTTTCAGTCATTACAGAAATAAATGACATGAAATATGTTTTTGCCCACGTTTTCCTCTTAAGACTCTTCAGAAAAGGTCAGTCTAGGTGAAAACAATCAGATACGATGGGGGCGCCTCAGGGACCAATTGATAAAAGCAGTCTGTCTTGTCTAGTCCCATAATCATTCACTTTCGAAGCATTTCCTTTATCAACACTTACAGTTGAAAGTACTTAATGATTAAGTGAGAAAGCATTTTATATTCAGATGTTATTCAAACGATAGATGTGGTCAGATTCATCATGTTGTTTGCATCACCTCTCTGTAGTCTCCCTTTAAATGTCCCCATATGCATAGTTATGATTTACATTTTGTTCTTAGCTATTTCATATTTTAGTTGAAACCTGTGGATTTGCATTGTGCTAATTTAATCTGAGGGTCTTTGCGTCTTCATCTGTTGTTCTGTTAAGATATAGGGACATTTTTTTTTCACATACCTTCTTCACTTCCTCTACTCGCACAAGCTTTATATGTTCTATCATATGCTCCGAATGTATTAACAATTAGTACCAGCCACTAATAAAGCTGTTGCAATCTCAAGACTATTTAAATCGCAGCAGAGGGGTTACACATTTGCATGTGTTAGTGTTCAATCTAAAACTGGCACTAGCTACAAGTTAGCTGGTGAAAGCTACAAGAATTTTCAGAGGTGGTCTTATTTGGACTCCAGCGAATGGAACATGTTGTTTACATGTTGTGCTTCAAAAAGTGTAGGTGCCTTCCAGTTTCGTACAGTAGGGAATATTCATGTGCT